CTTCCTCATTCCTGTCAATCGTCAACTGTTGCGACATCGAGTTGGATGAGATCTGCTGGTCGTCTTCCGAATGCGAGCTCCAATGGAGTTACTCCCCCGTAGGTGACGGTCTGATTCCTGACAGTTGCAGCGGCCTTCACCAGTTGCCTATAGGTCACTTTCTTCAGTGTTGCAGGTGCAGTGCCTGCTTTGATGGAACTCAGCATGATCTTAAGTTGTGCCTTCAGGAGTCGAACTGCTGCTTCAGCTCGATTTGGCCATGGTGTATTCGGTCCCAGAGATATCGGAGTGATGTCAAGGGACTGATAGAAATGTTCCCATGTATCTGTCATGAAGGCTTGATCTGCGACAACTGATTTGGGCTGCAAGTGGTACTGGTCAAAATAGTTCCTGAGGATAGTGATGTTCTCGACTTCTTGCGTAGTTGTCACTGCCTCTGCAGTGAGCAATGTTGTTGCTCCATCCAGGATGACAAAAACAATGATGTGTTCTCCAGTTCCAAGAGGAACTTGACAGTGATCAATGAATGTCATGTCACCAAAGGTGTCCGCTCGAAGTCCGCTTGTTTTCCTTCGTGATGGTGCATGTTTCCCACTTGGCAAACTTCACACTCACTTCGGATCTTGTCAAATAGATCGAATGTTGATTTCGGCAAATGAAGTGCTCGGGTTCTAAATCGAATTGATCTGTTGTCATGTGATGGTGCTGCAGGTGGAGTTTCTTCAACTCTTCTGGATTCGACAATCGCTTGTGGATTCTGCCTAGGGCAAGCGGAAGCGATGTTGGTTCTTCTGAGGATGGTGCGAAAGGATCTGGCTCAATAGTCGACTGGCCCCTCTTGTCGATGATCCTGTCTGCTGCCGATCCTGAACCTGCTTCTTCGTCCTTAAGCGTCCGAGAAGGTGAAAATGGTCTTACCTATCCACAGGTTAATCATTGGTTTACTTGCCTGGGATGTAAGTCTCCAATTGTCTTCCAGGATGTCTGGATCTCCGCCCGCGGATGCATCAATGATTTCCGTGGTACGTTCTCGGCTGATGTGATCAGGATTGATTGGACATTCCTTGGCTCCATTTGGTTGCGCCTTTCGGGGCGTGATGTGCACACGGATGAGCTGCTTGTTCTTCTTGTCAAGGATCCAATGGTCCTGCTTTTGAGACCCGATGATCTTTGGAGCTGCTAGGTCCTCCTTTGTCTCGGATGATTTTGCTGCACAAACAGTTTCGCTCCTGGTGAGATCCCCGGAGGGAAATTTGATGCTGTTATCATCGTCATAGACATAGTTGGTGAGGCCATTGTGAGCAATTTCTCCATGTGCCTTCACTCTTGCAACTCCAGCGAGATCGACGAGTGCATGTCCTGTACCGGATACTGGAACTGCTTGACGGTTCAGGCCAAAGGCCTTGCATGTGATCTTGTCACATTGAGGTGTGTGCTCGATGGTCATGTAGAGGTTCCGCATCTGGCTAATGCTGAGAAGCATCGGTACAGTTCCTTGTTCAAGGATGTCGATGTTCGTACTGCATGGAGGAGTTGTGTGATATCAAAGATGCAGGGTCCAATTTACCCTGGCGGTCTCTCCGTTTGCAAAAGTGAACTTGGTCTCGGCCGGGATGTACTCGTAGGAGATGATGTCCTTCATTGGTTCGATTGCCTGGGTAAAACGCTGGATTGCATGCCAGCTGCCCATAGATCTGGTACATCCGTTGTCCAGAATCGCATAGGTCGGGTTGTGCTGAGGGTTGATGACAGGCGCCATCAGCTTTGTTGCCAAAAGGCTGTGATTTGTTGTGACGGACAGATTGTGTTCTGAAACTGCATCTGATTGGATCAGCTTCTCGTGGATGGCCTTTTTCCCAGGATACTCATACGCATCATGGAATGCCATTAGCGCTTGTCCTGTGCTGGATGTCTCATGGGATGAGTACCAGCCATGTTGTTCCATGTCCATGATTGATCCCAATCTTGGTCTGTCCAACCGGCATAGGTAGGCTCTATGGATGGTGCAGTCTGCTGGATGGCGGGCTGCTCCTCCGTCTTCTCTGCGGTGGCTGCGAACGTCTTGGATTTTCCTTTCTCCTGTCCGCTCTTTCCTTTGCCACTCTCATAGGATGGATAACCTTTGTTTCCATCATAGGGATATTGGAATTTTGATTTTCCTTTCTTTCCCTTCTTTCCTTTGCCTTTTCCCCAATATGCCTGGTCGTAGGGATCATAGTTTTCGTTGGCCATATTGGCCTTTCCGACAGAACCGCTTTTTCTGAAGGGTTTGAAGCCACCTCGTTGGGGACCGCCCTTCTTGTTTCCTGATTTTCCTTTTCCTTTTCTTTTCTTGAACTTGAAGTTCCGCCCCGACACTTTTCTTGCTATGAACGCATCGTTCTCCTCGAGGACCCAGAACGTCTCTTCATCATTGTTTGACATGAATCCTTCAAGTCCTTCTTCATCCTCAACCCAGAAGCCTTCTTCTCCTTCGTATTCACCTTGTTCGATGATGAAGAATGTGTTGCTTCGGCTGCCTCCTTGAGGTCGGATGGATGGATCTTGGATCGATGTCCTCGTTGTGATGAAGAGTTCATGGTAGTGTGTCTTCAGCATCTCATAGGAATAATTCTCGAGTGAGATGTTCCTCAATGACATTGCACTTGTGAGTCGTTCTCTTTGTTGATCTGACAACTCACTTTGTATAATGAAAAACTGTGCAATGAGATTATCCCCGAAGGGAAATGCGTCCCGCTGTCTGTCCTGCATTCCTTGGATATATTGTCTGAGGACTGTAGGATCGTCCTCATTTAGCAGGGCTGGAGGCGGTGCTCGAGCACCGGCTGCTTGCTGATGTCGAGCAATTGTTCTTGCATTTGCGTCCTGTACGGACTGTCGGAATGATGGAGACTGTGCCGTAAAGATTGGCATCAAGTCCATCCATGCTGCCTTCAATCTCATGAGGAGGATCTCGAATTTCGAGGTAAAAATGAGGAACTCTTGGTTCTGCCTTCTGTGGTTGAAGAAACTGAGGAGTCTGTACAGATACACGTTGGTCGCACCTTTCAAAAAGTACTTCTTCAGCGCGTTCTTGAAATAGTTGACTCCTTCATCAGGATCTTGCAGAAGGTCAGTTTGGAGGACGGCCTTGTACATGTAAGCATGCTTCTACTGTGGTGATTGTCACCCAGTCGTCCACGGGTTCTTCATACCTGAACCAGCTGACTTTTCCGTCGTACGATGGCGGCTGCTTGGCGGTCATCTTCCCTTGGATCTCTGCGGAAAACCTGCTCCGCTACCACAAATTGAGGCCCACTGCCCCAGGTGCCTATCCCCGGAGGGAACTGGAACCCTGTGGTAGTTGAGGTCGTTGTTGGTCACTGAATCTATTCCGGAGAGAGTCCAATATGCCAATAATGGATGATTGGAGGATGGATTGTCCCTGGTGGATTGTCTGATGGATAATCCTGTAAGCGGCCTGCAATGGCTCTTTTGTCCTCACGCTCGGATAGTCGTGATTATGCAAAAGGGGCCTTGAGCGCCAAATGTTGCGGGAGATCAATAGTCTGAGAAACAAAACACAGGGGGGGGCGGCCTATTCCTGGACAAGCCCAGGATAATACATAAGCCCAGGCAAAGCCCCGCATTAGCCATTCGGGCTGTAGCAAAGGGCCAATAGAGGTAGGTTTACATCTCGGGAAAAAGCAGCATGGCACCCGCCGCACCCGGAGTGTTGCTTCCAGTATGGGCGCCCTGTCCATATAGGTGTCCGTCCGTGCATATTTGCCTTGTCTGGAACAGCGCGGGCCTTCAGACAGCAGCACGCAGCTGTCAGACGCCCGGGCGCAGCTGCCCAATGCCGAGCTGTCCATCCATCTTTGTCAGCCTTGCAAACGTCAGCGCCGGCTGCCAGCAATCAAAGCACGACTTCCAGGTGTCCGTTTTTCGCAGCAGCATGAAGGGGGGTCATTGTGGGTTGCTCATCTTCTTCGTCATGTGTTGGGCATCTGGGCCCGGGGGCTTGTCCCAAAGGCTTCCGACTGTCGCTATATTCCCATCCAGCGCTGCCTGCAATAATGAAGAAATTTGCGGGCAATGTGCCAGGTGGGGCCGAATCACGACAGGTCTGCATCGGGCCAGTCGCTTTCTGATGCGAGCATTTCTTCTCCATGGACCAGCGCAAGCTTCCTGAAGTTCTTCACCTTCAGCCAAGTGGCCAGATTGCGCCTCAGCACATCGTTGAAGATTCCGCCTTGCCATTGGTACTTTGCCAACCGTTCAGTGGATTCTCCCGTACTTTTCGAACACGGTCCATGAGGGCCGCACAGTATGACCGACTGGAATCAAGCTTGGCAGCGCACCAGAAAACGCAAGACTGCCCTCGACCGATCTCAAGTCAAAAGTCAAAAGGCCCTTCAACACGAGTTCGGACCTGCAAGATAAGCACCAAGTTTAGGGGGGCATCCATTTTGACAATTACCGCAGATCGAGTTGACTTACCGCTTCTCACGGCCCCCCTCCTCCATACCCTCTTTGCTGGGGTAGAATATGGCAACCCACACAAAAGGAGGCACTTTCCATGAAAACAATGTCCAACCATACCCGAGCAAAAACGCGTATTTGTTTGGAATACGTGGTTCGTAAAAAGCTCAAAATGGTGGTTTCAATTAGCTTTCCCAGCTCTCCCGATTCGCAAAGGGTCATGTTGCCTAGATCTCTGAAAATTATTGAAGTGTAAAAATCCAGGAGAAAAAACTTGGAACCACCAAGATCCGTGTAATTTAAGGAAATTGCAAAAGTGGGGGCAAAGACACTGTGCTTTTCCCTGAGCAACAATGAGCTTGTCTTGCCTGCGCTTGCGGCATTGCCAATGATGTATACAAGCTAATCCCAACAGGACATAACAGGACCCACGCTCATTTTCTGCTCGCCTTTTGACAGGGATACTTCCAGCCCTCTTTGGACTTTGCTTATCTGTGCTCGAGGATGCTCCATGACCCGGCAACACGAACCCCCGCCTTCAAACACCGTTGGAAGTGTTCCTGGCGCACAGCAGGGCAACTAACATGGGGCCGCCCTGCAGATGGGGTGTGTCCAACATTGGGAATATCCTTATGGTGGATACCAAACGACAACCACACATCTTTTGGGACCTCTATCTGGGGCAACATCCTATCTTATGGACAATCGGATGCCTGAGACATGCAATGTAGCGTTTCAGCTACTTCAGTAGCCCGTCGATCAGGATTGTAAACACAACCAACAACGCATCCAGAACGCTGGACCCGTTAAGGCCTTTTTAGCTGGGTTATCTCTACGTGGCGGAACCCTTCAAATGGATGGTCCCTCTGGTTTCCCATCAAAACATATCAAAACAACCTCAACAAGAGTACCAACGTCGACACCACACACACTCACACGCACCAATCTGGCACCTGAGATTGCAATTTGTTGAAGCGGGTTTCAACACATCACCTCAAAATAAAGTCACGTCAAAAACTAGCAGCCAGGTGGGAAACGTGGGGAGCCCCTGGCAAGACCTGGGGCCAGAGCCATCGGACCAACTTGACCTGTGGATTGTGGGGAATACGGTGGGGTCTGGTGTTCCACAACTTGGGTATGTGTCAACCCACAAACAGCCCCAAACCGCAGATCCGGTCCAAGCCACTGCCATTCTGCGTGTTGAAAAGGGGGCGGGAGAAAATCACCAACTACCTACCCCTTGGTGGTTTCCTTCTGGAAAAAGATCATGGGTTTTCCGGCGTCCTGCATGACAACTTCAAGGATCTCAGCCACTGCAATCCCCGCTCCATTCTATGTCCAAGCTGCTGAAAATCGTCGACCTGCACCTGGCTGTAGGAAGAAACAACTCGCAGCCTAGCACTGCGGGAACCTGGAGTACATAGACCACCTTCAAGCAATGCAGCAGTCACTGTGGAAAAATCTGGAGGTTTGTTGTTCGTTACCAAAATCACAAGTTTAGCTTGCCCAAGCCGGCCAGAGTGTGGAATGTGTCATAAGTTCGCCCCCAAACTTTGCACATTGACTCAAATAAACGAGTTGTCGAGGAGGGGCTGAGTGATCGTCTATGGTTGGTCGGAAGAGCTCCGGATGCTCGCTGGCCCTGCCATTTGGTGGTCGCAACTCCAGTTTCCCCTCCTGACAGACTGGACTACCCTTTGTGAAGATCCTGATTCTTGGGATGCAGTTGACAACGGTTTCGCGGCATTGTGCAATCACAACAGGACGTCCTGAGTGGTGGGTGGTTGGCCCAAGCACTTTTGTCTACTGTTTGCCTACTTGCAAAATTGAAACGAATCTTAGTCGCGAAGTTCAATGTGCAATTTGCATCTGCAATCAATGCGATGCATGTTGCCCACTTCACGATTTCTCATCTTACAGCGGGATAGCTTTTCATCAAAACCCATCTGCCTGCTGCTTTCAATCAGACCGAGTGTGAGCTGATTGGATAGCGAAGTGGCATGTTGGCAAAATGACGTCTTGAGCCATGGTGGGCCCAATCCCCTTCAGATGTCTGCGTGCTCCAGAGCGACTTACTTGTCCCTCTGTACCACTCCATTCCAAAAATGACAGACGGAGAAGTGGGGAGATACCATCATACTATGAGGAAAGGAATGGACATAGCATGTGGATGGCATCTCCTCTCCTCATCTCTCCTCTCCTCTATGGTTCGAAGGAGAGAGGAAGACGAGTGCCATTCCCTTCCCAATTCCGTCTATTCGCCTCAACCCCCAGGGCCGGGAAGCGGTCAGACCCCTTCAGAACCATTTCAGAACCAACCCAAAAATTGGCCCGTCCGACCCCCCCCCCCCCCGACCCCATGTCGCGCGGCCCTGGAAGACCCCACAAATGCCCAAATTCCCGTTAAAACTGGTCAAGTGCCAATTAGGGCCCCTAGAAACCAGCCGAACTCGCTTCTAGAAACCTGTCAAATCCCCTCTGAAAACAGGTCCAACTCCTGTCAAATCCCCGTAGAAACCTTCAAAACCCAAAAAACCGTCCAATACCCTAGAAATTTGGACCTGCGCTTGGCCCACAATTCTGTAGCTTTCTGCGGCTCTCGGTCTGGCCCTTGAAGCCAGGTGGAATCGTGCGGACATGCGCCCGCCCGCTAGCTTGGAAAATAGCTCACGCATTTCGGCGCCGACTCACACACTTTAATAACATCACTTCAAGGCAAACTGAAGCACAGTATATGCCGCAAAGCCAGCCAAAAGCGGACTGGCCGAGGCGGGCAACGTGAAGCGTTTACAATTATTGCTGGTGATGGAAGGGATTGGAAAAATGATGGGATGGTTAACTCCAGCATTACTAACGAGAGCATGTTTTTGTTTCTGGAGTTAACCATCTAGCCCTCCATTCTGCTAGAAATTGCGTGGGACAGCGCTCCCTGTTTCTTGGCCGTGGGGAGAGGAGAGAGAAAGAGGGCGACGTTGCCCACCATTTGTTTTGAACAAATCTCACTTTGGGTTTCGCTCCTTGGGCATTTGCCGTTTTAAATTTTCCAGGGACAAGCCTTGAAAGTCACGAGGGGGCATGTTCCGACCGTACGGCGACCAAGCATGTCACCTGCGGCCAACTGACCTCGCGCACTTATTTTGTCCCAAAGAAAACGCCTCAAATGTGTGCTTTCTCAGGAAACGACGGAAAACATGCAAACCTCAAGGACGCAAGTATTCATAGTATTCACTTCCACCCACTAACAGCAGTGGGGGGGGGGGGAAGCTGGGCGAGCAATTTCCTCTTCAAGAGCCCCTTGATGTCTCACTGGTGGTTTGGCTGAAGAAGGCTTTCAATATGTCCAAGTTTTAAGCGTCATAGCATCCAAACACATAGGATCCAAGCAACATATCCCAGACCACAGAAACTGAGTGTCCTGCAGGAAGGGGTGGTTGGTAAGGCAGTATCCGACGTGGAGCTGTGGAATGAGTTTTCAAGTCAGTAAGTTAGAAGCTTAACACCTTAGTAAAATAGTGAGATAGTAAGTTAGTAAGCTACCGAGTTATTTAGCGCCCGGGGCAGCCAGCAGTCAGTGCAACGCAGAAGGAATGGGCAGTTAGCAAGGTGCTGGCACTACTATTGCTAGTACTACGGCTGCTACGACAACTACGACTACAACTATGACTGCGACTACAACTACGACGACGACGACGACGACGACGTCGACGACGACGACGACGACGACTACTACTACTACTCTTGCTGCGCTGCTAGTACTGCTGTGCTGCTACTCCTACTACTACGACAACTGCGACGACTACTACTACTGCTGCCGCCACTACTGTCACAGAAGCAGCAGCAGCAGCAGCAGCAGCAGCAGCAGCAGCAGCAGCAGCAGCAGCAGCAGCCAACAACAACAACAACAACAACAACAACAACCACCACCACCACGACGACCACGACGACGACGCACTACAACGACGCATGCTATTGGTACTTTTGCTATTGATGATACTTTCTATTACAATTTCGCAACCGCATTTGCACCTGACACCACCACTACTACTATTACTAGTACTAGTACTAGTACTAGTACTGGTGCTAGTGCTAGTGCTCGTACTGGTACTAGTACTAGTAGTACTACCTACTACCGCTGCCTCTACTGATTTGTTCCTTGATCCTGACCTGTTTGATCCC